TTCTGAATTCGTTTTATATATATATATATATATATTTTCAGAAATTATATAAATAGCTGGGGAGTGATCAGATTGGTTGCTAACAGTCTTATAAAAATTAAAAGGCGATCAAAAACGGCTAACCTGCTGAATTAAACATCATGTACATTAAACAAGCACTAATATTGTTTACAATTACTGTTGTAAAGTATCCACTTACCATCTTTTGGCTCTGTTTTTAGTTTTAATGTTTGGCAGTCTGTTCCCAGTTTGTTTGCATGTACAATGAATTATTTAATTTTGACCAAACAGACTTGGTCTTTCAAAAAATGATGGTGATTGTAGTATATTTTTAAAGCAATAGCTCACGACAGGCCGTGGTATATGCTCATTATATCACTAATAATTAGCTTCGCTCTACTTTCTCCGATTTGGCTTCCAGTAGCTCTGGAGAGGGCTTTCGCACCTGTGGCCACTAACGGTCATAATTTCTCTGCTTTGTTCCAAGACCTGCATCAGAAAGCTATTGAATGGTGATACTTTTCTAGTTGGTCTACCTGCTCTTCACGTAGCTCTGCATGTTGTCGTTTATGTGCTTTTTTTTCTGGAGATAGGCACTGCTCAATCGACTCCTCCATAGTAAGACCACCCCAGAGGTCAAAGTTAACCTTAAATGTTTCCATCTTAAGCTTTGTAAGTTTGTTTCGTAACGGACAAAATGTAAATATATTTATAAAACGGAAAAGTCAAATCAAGCAATCTGATTGGTCGATAGCGTTTTTGCGGACCTTTTTGATTATAGATTTGAAAACATCGTTGCTTGCTTTAAAAGTAGCACAATTCATTATGTCAAACCTTGGAAAATGTATCTAGATATCCCTGCCCTAATGCCAACTGGCAACTGAATATGTTTTGCCGTTTGATGTCTATATGTCTGGACCGATGCGTAAAAAGGAGGGTTTCTGCCCCGTTACTTCTCTGCTGTTTTCTTGTCCCAGTTTGAAAAGCAAACTGCATGCAGTTTGCTATTC